TGAACGATTTAACCCTTGACCTCATTTCATAGGCTTATTAAAGAACTTAGTTATGTTTAACATTGTGCTTATTTTTGAATAATCATTAGACAGACATTGGTGATATTGCAATTTGCCCTACTGTCAATTCAAAGGTGTTTGTAAAACCTCAGTCTATAGCCTTGCAATAATTAATGCCTTTTTTGTTTTTGGCATTGTCCTTTTTAATCTTTTATATGAATGTGCAACTCCAGAGCAAATTTTTGGGGGGTCTCACAAGTCGGCTCAAGGCCCTGGACTATATTCTGAAAGCACACCCTCCAAGGCCCACATCTCTGGAACTTTCGGCCCAAAAGGTGCATCGCTTCCTGCCCTTGAAGATGCATGACGCAGAAAGAAACCTTAAGATCCAGGACATCACGGTGGAAATTGAGGCTGCAGAACTACTGCACTTTTTAAAAGGGCTATTCATGGCCTTGCTATTGCCTAGACAGGCTAAAAACATACATCTAGAGGGCTTCTTGAGGCTTTGTAAACCAGCCAGAGCACTCACACAGCTACAAGGGATGTGGAGGTCCTATTCAAAAATGACTGGGATAGGACCACTTGTTGCTGTTGTCAAGGAAAAAATCACCTCTTCCCTCGGAATCAATGCAACTTGGAGTGTAGGCCCGTATCTAGGAAGTATGTACTTGGACTCATACCATAATATGTAATTATTGGCATACCAGGGCTCCATTGTAGCCCCTCCACGTCTGTCCAAGATACCTGTAAATCAAATCTAATTTGAAACAATTACATGTTAACGTAATCAGCCACAGCTCAAGTAAATACACTATATATGTTCCCCTGTAGCTGTCTGATTTGGCAATATCAGTTTTAATGCATCCATACCCTGTTCATCTAATGTTACAAAGAATACATCCCTAGATGGTAACTCTGTGGTGTGCGTTTTTGTTTTTTTTTAAATATTATTTTAGAGGTCCTCGGTGTTTTTTAGACAAGGATGCAATTTCTGGACATTTTCTTTCAATAGTCTGTCCCTGCTAGACACAATCGTCTGCCTGGTGGATTTTGTTTGTTTATTTTGGGTGTCATGTATAGTTCCAGATGTTTTAAGTGTTCCATTGTGAAATTTCACAGAAGGTAGATCCAAATATCCCAGCTGTGATTCTGTTTGGAGTAAATCTTGTATCCTGTTTTGTAACTTGTAGATTGTATCACATGTGTTTTTATATATTTAATATTTTTAATATACGGTGGTATCGGACAGTAGTTTACGTCGGATTTGTACGTGTAGTAAGTATTGCACCCAGTTTGTCCGTTGAATGTATGACAATACTTTGATCTTGAGCTACGTCTTTCCGTGCCACCCATTCTTCTCAGCTGTGATTGTGTGTAAGTCTGCAGGGTTGTTTAACCACTTTTACAGATTCGGCTTGTATCATACCTCACCCCTCTGTCGATCCTTACACTGGCTTCCTGCACCCTACAGGTGTCAATTTAAAATACTAACCCTTACCTATAAAGCTCTAACCAACTAACCAAGCCCCTCTTAAATTTATTTATTACTGGTATTTATAAAGCGTTAACAGATTCCACAGCGCTGTACAATATACACTAACAAATACAAGAGGTAGAGAGAGCCCTGCCCGTAAGCTGATAACTAGCAATTGAAGCTCTGTTATACAAAGTGCTTAGCTAGATAGCCTGTGATCTTATTTCTTCACTGATTCATAGGTATGCTCCCTCTCTGTCTCTCCACTCTACTGGCGACCTTCTCCTGTCTGCTGCTCACATCCTTACTGCAAATTCATGCCTGCAAGACTTCTCACGGGTGGCTCATTTCCTTTGGAACAGCCTGCCTACCCCTGTCAGACTCTCCCTAGTCTTCAATCCTTTAAGAAATCTCATAAAACCCATCTTTTCAGGATTGTTTATGGCCTCCAAGAGTAACTTCTATCTTTCAAAGCTTTCTCTCACGCTCTCCTATAGGGCCACACTCCACTCTCTCCTCCAGTTCTGCTACTTTCCCACCATGTCTATTTGCGGTCTCACTCAATACCTTTCCTATTGTTGTTGTGTTTTTTTTATTTTTTTATTTTTTTATTTTTTTTTTTATACCCCACCTCCTCTAGACTGTTGATCCGTTTGAGCAGGGTTCTCCACTACCCATTGTTCCTGTTACATTTTGTTATTGTCTCATTTGGTAAATTCCCCTCTTATTGTAAAGCGCTGCGGAATAAGCTGACGCTATGTAAATACCAATTATCATAATATAGGGTTGGACAACATTTAACTGTGACCTTTCTCGGATCTATTCTTTTCCTCCCCCTGATAACTTTTTATCTTTGCTGATGACTACTTTCTTGTCTCCCGGCAACAAAATTGGTTTGAATTAATATTTTCATATCTGATCTAAAATTCGGGCTAAAGGATGTACTACACATCAAAGGAAAAAAGAAATTGGAAACAAAACTCAGATTCTGTAGTAAACGAAACATGTTGCACACTAGTGCAACACATTAAACATTACTATTGCTCCTCTGCTGAGAGGGAAACGTTGATGTACTTCAGGGCTGCTTCTTGTGGCAGCATCTGTAGTGGTTGTGGTGATTAGAGTATTCCTTTAATTGACAAATGCCATATGGTCAATTTTGTACTAGAGATACTCAGTTTCTACTCACCCATCATTGAATTTTATCTATCATAATTCAAAAACTCCAGATTTGCTGAGCTGATAATCACCTCCTACTCCCTTCTAACTTAAAGGAACACTGCTGAGGAACACAAACCTGTATTCCTTACCTTATAGTGTTAAAAACATTAGCCCACCTGGCCCTCCCTTGCCCCTAATGTAGTAAAATCTTACCTTTTATTCCAGTCTGCTGGTGCTGACTCTGCCCCTGATCTACCTCCTTGGCTGACCTCAAGTGTTCTTCAAAGCCAACCACATTGCTTTACTATAGGAAAGCATTGGATTGGCTGAAATAAATTCTGATAGCCAAGGAGGTAGATGGGAGACAGAGACAAATGCACCCCTGGCCAATCGAATCCATGCATCTCTATGAAGAAAGTTCATTTTCTGCATGCAGAGGGTGGAGACACTGAATGGCACTGCTGCACATTGTGCAGCACTGCCCCAGGAACCACCTTGAGTAGCCGTAATGTAAACACTACATTTTGTATCATGTTTTGTAACTTGTAGATTGGATCACATGTGTTTTTATATATTTAATATTTTTAATATACGGTGGTATCGGACAGTAGTTTACGTCGGATTTGTACGTGTAGTAAGTATTGCAGTTTGTCCGTTGAATGTATGACAATACTTTGATCTTGAGCTAGGTCTTTCAGTGCCACCCATTCTTCTCAGTTGAGATTGTGTGTGTGTATGTCTGCAGGGTTGATTAACCACTTTTTCAGATTCGGCTTGTAGAACCTGGATAAAACACCTGATCAATGCATTTGTAGTCTTTATATCAACTTTGACTTTGGGGAAAAAACTAGTCCCTAGGTCTCATCTATGTTTAGTTATATTTTTCTGCCCAACTTAAAGGACCACTATAGTGCCAGGAAAACATACTCGTTTTCCTGGCACTATAGTGCCCTGAGGGTGCCCCCACCCTCAGGGTCCCCCTCCCGCCCGGCTCTGGAAGGGGGAAAAGGGGGAAAACTTACCTTTTTTCAGCGCTGGGCGGAGAGCTCTCCTCCTCCGATCCTCCTCTTCTCCTCCCCATCGGCTGAATGCGCACGCGCGGCAAGAGCTGCGCGCGCATTCAGCCGGTCACATAGGAAAGCATTCATAATGCTTTCCTATGAACGCTGGCGTGCTCTCACTGTGAAAATCACAGTGAGAAGCACGCAAGCGCCTCTAGTGGCTGTCAATGAGACAGCCACTAGAGGAAATAGGGGAAGGCTTAACCCATTGATAAACATAGCAGTTTCTCTGAAACTGCTATGTTTATTAAAACATGGGTTAACCCTAGCTGGACCTGGCACCCAGACCACTTCATTAAGCTGAAGTGGTCTGGGTGCCTAGAGTGGTCCTTTAAGGTGCATTGATCATTTTCAATTTCCATTTGAATGCTATTGGGTCTTGCCATGTGTTTACTGCAAAGAGCCTGCAGGGACATGTTATACTCACCAGAACTACTACATTAAAGGACCACTCTAGGCACCTAGACCACTTCAGCTTAATGAAGTGGTCTGGGTGCCAGGTCCAGCTAGGCTTAACCCATTCTTTTATAAACATAGCAGCAGTTTCAGAGAAACTGCTATGTTTATGAATGGGTTAAGCCTTCCCCCAAATCCTCTAGTGGCTGTCTCATTGACAGCCGCTAGAGGCGCTTGCGTGATTCTCACTGTGATTTTCACAGTGAGAACACGCAAGCGTCCATAGGAAAGCATTGTAAATGCTTTCCTATGCGACTGGCTGAACGCGCGCAGCTCTTGCCGCGCATTCAGCCGATGGGGAGGATTGGAGGAGGAGAGCTCACCGCCCAGCGCTGGAAAAAGGTAAGTTTGAACCCCTTTCCCCCTTCCAGAGCCGGGCGGGAGGGGGACCTTGAGGGTGGGGGCACCATCAGGGCACTATAGTGCCAGGAAAACAAGTATGTTTTCCTGGCACTATAGTGGTCCTTTAAGCTGTACTTGTTCTGGTGACTAGAATGTCCGTTTAAGATATTCATTTTTCCTGATGTTTTAGTACATACAGACTTTGTATTGAGTACCCACAGACTGGCCAAAGCATTAATTAATAGCACAGTGGTGATTTTTTTTATTTTTATTTATTTTTTATGTATATTACAAGCCAACACTATATTAATTGTGCATTATTGTGCAAATTATAGATCTTCCTAAAGTTGTGCTCTGCCTTTGCAGCTGAAGGCTCCGTTTTGGATTAATGGTGGAATTTTTCCTGACTCCAGTAATCTAAATATAGACAGGGGACGTAGTCGTGCACTGTCCTCTGTGACCTTCCCAAATGCCTGTACGCTTAGAGCGAGATTGGCGACACAAGGGCTGAGCATCATGTTTTTCCTTTTACATAGCATAAAGTGCTTGTTATAGAGGCAGTCATGATTGTATCATCAAATGTAAGTTCCTTCTCTGTGCTCAATACACACTTCCTTTTGTAGTGCTAGTCTATCAACTGTTATGCGTTCATGTGGGGTGACCCTCTACACATCCTTCTAGTGTCTTGTCTTTTGTGTCATATCCGATTCACTCCTAACTACTGGTGCGATTTATGGAACACACACCTGCTCTCCACTTTTGCATCATATTCCGTTCTTCCTGTAATGGTTTCAGGACACCCTTAAGTTGTGGTATTTTTTTTTTTTTTTGGAGTTCTGTGTATTAAATAATGCAAGCTCCAAAAGGTGTCATCTGATACCTTACTTAGAACCCTATTTATGCAAATCACAGACTTCAGAGGGATGTCTTCCCCACCTCCCTAACAAAAACAACTTCATATGTTCTCTGATCAGCAGACTGCGCTTTCACGCCCGTGTTACTGCCAAATGGACCCATTTTGTCTTAAACAACAAAGCAAAAAAAAAAAAAGTGTTGGAGTGGATACAATAAATGGCGTTCCCCATAAAGCAGGTGTAGGTGCAACTTCAGATTATTCAAAATTACTTTCCAGAAATACAGTTTTCAAGGAAAGATTGACAAAGCTTGATGCGTTTTTTGTACTTCAAAAACATCATTTAAAAGCATTTTACACATTCTGAATTTGAATGTACTTATCTGTAATGGATCGTTTCCTTTGAAGTACGATGTCGTGGGTTTTTTTTGTGGTTTTTTTTTTCTGGACATGGATGTGTTCTGGGGAAACTAACTTGATGACGAGCACTGTGTAGTTTACCTGTTCCTTTTTTTTCTCTTTGGGCTCTGACTTTAAAGTAACCCAGGACAAATACATAATCTAAAATATTTCTAATACTGAAATTATAACACTATCTATATCCAATATGCCATACACTACTAGCCAGGCATTAACATTTACTCTCCATTGCAAGCCTGTAGGATCCATGGCACACTCGCCAAGGGTGAATTTTTATGTGCGTTTGCTACATTTTCACATTGAGTATACATTTTGAACTTTGTGTTCCTCTATAAGAAGCTCAATTAGAACAAAAAGTTTAAAACAAATCTAAAAGGTTGAATACGTGATAAACCTCACACGTAAACAAAAGTGCTCTCGTACTTTTACTTTACTTTCTCATGAGCATAGTTATAAAATGTGTACCAGCAAAAACCAGAAAAGCAGGATATTGTGCATCTCCTTCAAATGTTATTTTAAGTTAAAGTATTTCATATCTTTTCAAAGTATCTGCATTATGAGATTCAATGGGTATTCTGGATATATCTTACATTTTCTGTACTAGTTTAAAAAAAACAATAAACAAACAATAAAAAAGAGGCAGATCACCCCCCCCCCCTTCCGCCCCATAACTTTGCGAACTGCCAGTCTGGGAAATAAGCCTTAGATCTGCAAATAGGATATACACATTTATGTGGGGTGGGGGGGGGGCTTATTTCTTCTTTTACTTTATTAATTTTCTTTATTTTATTTTTCCTCTTATTTTTCTAGTCTTTGCTGCTGTGAAAGGCAAATATTTGTTTCAAACATTTGTCAATTTTATAATTATCATAGCGCTCACTACTCTAAAAGCTATTCACCACAGCAAACCCGCTGCATGATTAGTCACTTTCCACATCTGACAATTCCTGACATATTGGATCCTGTGGATTGCATTTTTGTAGTCTTTACTACTCTAGAAGTTTCAAAGTCAGTGGACAAATGCATTAACAAGACTTTCCTTTACTAATTATTTTTAAAATTTGTTTTCTTTTGCTTATGTCAATAACATGTTAATGATTACACTCTCCAAATTGCCACTTGCATTTATATTTATTTTTATGGTCTCTTCTTCTTTGTGTTGTATATCAATACTTGGGCATCTCCATTTTGTTCTTCTCTGTCAATGAGATTTGAATTTTCTTTTACTTTTTTTTTTTGACTGATGGATTGTGGTTAAATCCGCTTAGAAACTGAAATGGAACTTTGCTTAAGCTCTTCCCAGTGCAAATTATTGGCAAATATCATACTCCCCATGAGTAGAAGTAGTTACTACGTTGTTTTATGTAAAACTAAAAAAAGTAACAAAAAAAGATTCATTTTAAAAGCAAACCCTACAAAGTGAAAGGAGTCACTTTTGGGTGGATATACACCCCTAGGAGGAGACAGGAACTTCCTTTTGATCTCTCTCTCTCTCTCTCCTCCCCCCCCCCTCCCCCTTTAAAATATATTCTCTATCTGGTAGGCATGCAGCCTTTAACGTACCCCTTGCACACTGGTGGCAGATGGGCTGACTGGCATATCTCCACACTCTCTCTGCGGAGGTTTAATGTACTGTGTACCTCATTTAGTTGTTTTACCCTTGCAGTTTGGTGGGAGGAAATCATACATCCCCTGTGCCCTTCCAAGAGTAGGAAAAAAACAACCGATTTCTCACCAGGCACTGTTCTTCAATGAGAAGAGGAAGTGGAAGGGCAGGGTTACTTCTGTTAATGAAAAGCTGCTCCTTTTAAACTGCACTGAAGATCCTCTATTGGGGATCTTTGGTACACTCATATGGGTTGAAATTTTCCTTGTCGGAATTTTGAGAATTAAATAGAATATACAAGATTACTTGAATTAATTATGAAAATGCATCCTTCCTTGACCATTTAAAACAATATTTCAAATACTGAATTGTTTTGTTGTGCACCCCTCCTGTTCCCTCATCTCTGTTCTCAAATTATAAATGACAGGGAAAAATAGATTTTTATTTTTGAAATCCTATACTTATTTCAGATAAACATGACCTCTGACACTTATCAAAGATTGCGAAACCTGTGCATTTTATATTATCCATTAGGTAAGCAGATTTGATTTGGCTGTCCTGAAACTAGTAAGGATTAACCCTTGGGACTGTCTTACACCCAACCCCCTGTCCCTGAAATAGTTTAAGGGTCACTTTGCCTTTACAAAGGAATGCACATATTGTAATCTCTTCCCCTGCCCTCTAGTATTACATCAGCACTATTGAGGTGTTGCATTCCTTCCACATCAGCTCATATGCTGCATAAGATGTTACAGCGGCTTGAGTTATTTCACACTGCTGGGGACTCCTTGTTTGTACAAATGTGGAGTATTGCAGAGTATTCCCTTCATGTCTTATTCAGACCACAGGGAAGCTGACCTTCTTTTATTAAAGGATCACTTTAGGGTCAGGAACACAAACAAGTATTCCTGACCCTATAGTTCTAAAACCACCATTTAGGTGGCTTGCCCTCCCCCTAGTCCCTTTTAGAATTGGTTAAAACTCGCCTTATTTTGAGCTCTCAATAGGTCTGCTGGCACTGGCCAAGCCCCCTTGGTGACCTCATCGAAATTGCTGCTTTTTAGCCAATCCAATGCCTTCCCAATGCCGTTTTGGCCAATCGGCACCATCTCATAGAGATGCATTGAATCAATGTATCTCTGAGGAAAATTCAGCATCCCCATGGGGACGCTGAACAGCAGGGCTGCTTACTGTGCAGCCCTGAGCCAGGAAGCCCCTCCAGTGGCCATCTGAGGAGTGGCCACTTGGAGGTGTCCCTAGGGGCAATGCAAACACGGCCTTTTCTCTGAAAAGGCCGTGTTTACATGAAAAGGCCTGAAGGGAGCTATTGTACTCACCAGAACAACTACATTAAGCTGTAGTTGTTCCGGTGACTATAGTGTCCCTTTAGTGACCCATTTTTATAGCAATTTAAGTGTGGCACATAAAACAAAACATACAATGGTTTTGGAATATTGGCTGATACTTAAGAAGCTGTAGGGGCTTATGAATTAGAAAAGTGGGGAGAGGGAAAGGGGATGGAGAAAAGACAGGGACATTTTTATAATTTGTTAGAAGTATTTCCCAAGGTATAATCCGGTTCACTGGATCTGTATGTTTGCATTTACGCAATGTGGCTTGCAATCATGTACATTTAAGTTTAAAGAGGATTTGTTTTAGATCCAGGTGTCTGTTTTCCATAGGGTCTAGAAAATGATCTACTTCTCTTGTTTTTCCATCATGTTTATATCAATTAGATAAGCGACCGACAACATTCTGACCACTTGGTGGCAGTGAGGAGCTGTGGAATGTGAATTTTCTAAAAATGCGGTTTCTGTGTACATTGGTATTGCGTCTTAAAACTTGGTTATCTAGTTGTTGATGCTAAGAATGTACAAGGAAGTATTCAATATTTTATTTTTTCAATTTTTTTTTTTTTTTGACTCATTAAAAATCCAGATCAGTTAAAACAAAGGATTTACATATGGGCAGTGAGTAGTGATCGGACAGTCTGTGACAAGCACTGACTAAATGCTTTTAAAACTGGTTGTAAACGAAATACAGTAACAGGCTGGGTTGGTATGTGAGCTAATGTGATGCATTTTATGTTGGGAATTGGTTCTTGGTGACTGGAAAGGCCTGTCAAAACAAGAGAATATTCTTGGACCAGCAGAAGATGATGATCTGGCACAAAACATACATAATGGCATAACATGACATAAAAGCATTTCTCAGTACTGTTCCAATGGGAAACTGAACTGGGATACTGGTTAACCTGTATTGCTATTGTTCCTAAGGGCCTGAATAGAAAACCAATGCACAAGGAGCCAAATTAAACACTATATAGGGTACCCTGAATGTATAATATGGAGATTCAGTGGCATTAAGGTCTTTCTGGTGCCAGTTAGGACTCCTGTAAAGAATTGCATCACTTGGGTGCTTTTAAGAACTGCACAAGTGTGAGCTCTATGAAAAGAGTACCTGGTACAAAAAGGTGCGAATTTATGACCAATTGTGGAATAGTTTGTCGCCCCCTGTTACCAACAGGTAGATGTTAAAAATAGTTAAATTACGTGTTGTACTTGTGATTTGAAAGATGCTGAAGATACCTATTCATTTTCATTAAAATCCACTACTACCTAAAAAAAGAAAAGAAAAAAAAAGGCCTACTGTTGACCTGAACCCGTCTCTTGTGAGCGCCACATCTTCTTCCTGTGAGTCCTCTTCAACATCTGGTGCTGAAAAGGCCATTACATACCACTTTCTGTAACAATTAAATCACTTTTTATGTAGAAGAGGAAATTGGGACATTAACTTCCATGTGATCTGTTTATGTCTTGAGCATGCATCCTGTGAGTGTCCCTTTAATGGTATACCATGGTCACAACTGTGATTCGAATGGATAAAGGTTTAAGTTTATAGTGCATCTTTATTAACAAATTATATATTGACTGTCACTATTGTTCAACAGTTACTTATGCTTCTGTTTTATGTCCAGTAACTTTCTTTCCACATTCAAAGGCATTCTCTATGTGATTGTACAAAAAAAAAAAAAAATAGAAAAAGCTTACAAAATTGTCGTCTAGCTAGGGTTTCCACCTTTATAAAAAATACCGGCCATTCTAATTTCCATAATTAATTATACATGCGTAAACATCACAAGGCACGACTTACATAAAAGAATAAAAAAATTTTGGAAGTAGAAAATTCCCAAATTTACTAATAAACTACTTACAATGTTTGTTCTTTGTCTGACTGTGTGTATAGCATTGTAAATGTGAGGCAGTGCGTATATGTATGGTCTGTATGAGTGTGTGTGTGTGGGTGTGTTTAGTAGTGTGTCGTCTGTGTATAACAGTATGATCATACTGTTGTCTGAGCGTGTGTCGTTGTATGCTTTGAGTGTGGGTCTACAATTTCTGTGAATGTTATAGTGTGTGTGTGTGTGTGTGTGTATATAGTATAAAACAATGTGTGTACATATCACTTTTAACAGAGATGGATATTCTACGGAGACTGAATACATACAGACTGCTGAATAAACATACATAAGTCATGCCTTTTGGCAGACCTTAGGAGATTTCACCCATTCCTACTCTCAATCAAATTCAGCCTGCTTTTAGCACTGTACGCTGGATGTTTGGATCTTCTAGCGAAGTTTCTATAAATAATGGCTATACGCTTGGTCTCAAGCTCAATTTTATATGACTTGGTACTGACCCAAAAATGTGGACTACAGAGAGCATCAAGCTGCCGGCCTCTCATTGGGACAAGTGGGGAAAGAAGGATGCTCCTCTCTTTCTTGGTTCAAGTGGAACAATTGGCGTTCTTGCTCTGTTTTGTAGCTTGGTTACCGTTACTAAAGTAATGTGTATGTGCCAACTCTTGTTTGCCATTCAGATGACTGTCTGAAACTGATCTGAAAGACACAACCTTCAAGCCTGCAGTCAGGGCTTGGATACCTTCTCACAAGCATTCTGCAGAATCCAGGGCTATATATACACACATATTTATGATACTAGGAAACAGATGGGAGCAGGTGGAAAAGTCAACTTCCTTTCTCCCCCCTATAACTCCATGTGTATAGAGAAACCTTGCAGGCTTCATTGGTTATGAAAGATGCAAATGCGTCTCTACTGATATACCTTCTTTAATATCAAAAATAGTTTTGTACTGGTAATTGGAATTATAGGAATTGTCTCACATCCCTCTGCAGCACCATTGCTATCACATTCGCTTGTGTCCGATTATATAAGCTTTCTGTTTAATTTGATAATGGCAACAATTATCAAGTTGTCTTGATTTGTTTCATGTGTAATGCTAGTTGTTACCCTGTCTTATGTTTTTTTTGTCTTTGTTTATTCTTCTCAGATGTTACAGGACTGTCCGAAGGCCCGCAGGGAGGTGGAACTGCATTGGAGGGCGTCTCAGTGCTCCCATATTGTAAAAATTATTGACGTTTATGAGAACCTGTACCAATCACGCAAATGCCTCCTTATTATCATGGAATGGTGAGTTTTGCAACACACAGAATGCATTTAGAATGTTGAGTTTGAAATGTGAAGTAATTTGAACAATGGTGAAATGGCATTGCATTAGAGTGCAAAGTTATTAAAATCACTAAAAATAAAAAAAATGTAACTTTTAAATCATGCTGGAATGGGAACTTATAAGACCTCTTGGAGGTAGGTACTCTATGATCCTTCTTAATCCACCTAAGCACTCTGTAATGATGCAAAATTACTGCTTGGGTTACACATCTGTAGCCCACTTCATTAGTGTTTCTCTGCACTTTATTGGTTTTTGTCCTGAAGGAACATTCCAGCATCATAAATAAATACCTTTTATAGTTAAAATGTTTTTGATTCATTCTCCACAGCATTGGGAGGCAGGATGCATGAGAACAAATTGTCACAGAGAACTGACAGTGCTTCTCTACAATATGAGAACCCCTCACTTCCACCTGTAGCGAATGCTCAAGGCAAATGAGGTAGAGCACCTACTTGGCTATCTGATATCTGTGAGGGTGCAACCCGGGACATTTTTCAAAGTGTGTTTTTTTTTTTTTTTTTTTTAAATCTGCTAATTATGAAACTCTGTATGGCCTTCAAAAAAATCACAACTAATCCTTGTCAATTTAAATGAACACTATAGTCACTACAGCTTAATGTAGTTGTTCTGGTGTCCATATTCTGTCTCTGTAGGCTTTTTGCTGTAAACAATTCCTTTTCAGAGGGTTTACATTGCTCCCTAGGAACACCTCCAGTGGCAGTCACTCAGACTGCCACTAGAGGTGCAGCACTGACGTTCAGCGTCTCCACGCTCTGCATGGAAACTCTAAAATTCCACATAGAGATACATTGATTCGCTGAATCTCTGTTAGGAGATGCTGATTGGCCAGTATGGAATTTGGCTCTGCCCCCTATCTCAGCCAATCCAATCCAAAGTGGTGGATTGGGCGCCAAGCCAGTGCTGCTGGACTAAATGTAAGATTTTACACTATTTAGTTGGGGGAAGCTGCCTGTGACGGACCGCCTGGAACCCCGACCGGGTACCTCAGTCAATCACTGCTTCCTAGTACTGGAGCACTATAACCACTGTAAACCCCACGAACCGCCGCAGCTTGGTTGGGGTCTCCACCCACCCTAATCCCAAAACCAGGATCCAGCCTCCAGTGGGTAGGGCTCTCTTAGTCCCGAGAGTGTAGCAGGAACAGCTCTTAGAAGAGCTTGGTGATTATACTCAGGGGAGTATAGTGATTATAGCAATCCCCAGAGTGTAGTTCTCCACTCACCCAAACATGAGCCAAGATTTCATGAAGGTGCAAGATGATCTGATCTTTAATGGTTCAAGTTGGCTTTTATACAATTCTCCAGGCCAGAAGAACACCCTCTGGACCTGATGAGGCACAGGAACACAAAGGACACAAACCAAATCAGAACAAACATACAGTCTGTGACACGCTCATGTACAGCACACAATCCCTCCCCTCTTCTTGGGAGATAATTGAGTAAAGTCGTGTAAGGAACTCCATTATCTCCAGGCATAAAAACATTTCACAAAGTTTAGAAAGTACCCCAAACCATAACATACCCCCAAAACATAACATTCCCGGATAGCCCTGATCTGGGTTAGCAACTTATCCAAAAATCACCCAGATCAGAGCAGGGGTTCAAAAGTTTCATGGAAGTCTCTTTTTGACCGGCCGCAAGCATAGTGCCCAAAACAGTTCCAGAGAATTAGGCTGTGCGCCCGGTCTATTTCCAAAGATTAAAGTGCACTTCAAATAGTCGAATGGGACTGTTCGTGCACAAAGTCAGTGTTGAAGTTTGTTTGGTACATTATTTCTACCGAACGCGCTCTGTTCATGCATATTTAGCCGAACATAGATGGAGGTGGAAGTCCCAAAACACAACTGACCGCGTTCGATTAAACAAGATGGCCGCCGCTGCCACCACGTGTTCGACTATACGAACGGCGACCACGCAGCCGTTTCTCATTTTAATGTCAGTTAAGCTGCGGTTAACCACCGCTTCTGGGAGGTTAACAGGCTCAACACTCCACTTGTGGGTGGTCCGGCTGTTTGACGGTTTGTTCGGTAAATGAACATCATAAGCCTAATCCATTCGGTAAGCTCCATATACTGCACCATAGAAGGGAAAAATCACAAACAGGGTTTTTAGCCCCAAAGTTCACCACAGGGCAAGAGGCTGGCAAGTAGGCCTCTCCAAATCCCAGTGACGAAGGTGCTTTTGTCACACTGCCTAAAATGGGTTTTTAACACTATATGCTACTACACGTGTTCCTGACAGTGTAGTGCTGTTCCTTAAAAAGAAAAAAAAAGTAAAGCTTTTTTAAGGGAATTGCAATGTGTAGGATCTAGGAGGCTGGTTCTTTTCAGATTGTATACCGTTATACTGCAATCCCTTAGGAAAATCAGTGGATTGCTGGCACATTAGTGGGGAGTGTTTTGAGACTAAAAGATTTGTGTTCTTTAGACCTAGGTTTCAAATTTGTTTCTCCCTACACTTGTGTGTAAAGCTGTCATTTATGCTGCTAGGAGTCTCATTTGTTAATTGTAAAAGCTAACGTGAAACACTTTCCATCTTATCCTTAATTATCCTTAATACCCGTGTTCTCTGTTTTTAGTCTGGATGGTGGTGAGCTCTTCAGTCGAATTCAGGATCGAGGGGACCAGGCCTTCACAGAGAGAGGTATGCATTCAGTTTAGGAATTTGATAGGAAATGCCTCTGTCTGTAGATATTTTCCATGCCCCCTCCACATTTCCTTTTTGAACTGAATAAAATGTATTAACCTCATCATTGCAATTATGTTGCAAAAGGAAAAAAAACACCAGTGTCCATTGTTTTTGTTTTAAATGATTTTTTTTATTTTGTTTGTTGCGTGATGGAAGGTACATAGCAAGAATAAGGTTAAATGCGGTGTTGCCTGCGCAGAGGCTCATTATGAAAAATATGGATTAGTGTATATGGGCCTACGCAGAGGCCTAATGTGGCTTTACATTATAAGATCAGTCATTTACACTTCATGAGCATTCTGATGCAGAGCTTGTTACTTACGTTGCGTATTGTAGCGATCTTAACCATATGTAGGCAATTTTCCCTGCAATGTATATGCAGGTTTTAGATAACTTATCTCATAGGGTGCATAACAACTTGCACAGAAACAGAAGTGTTAAATATTATAAGCTTAACAGGATCTAATTAAATTACCAAACAGTTGCTTAATTTATCATTATGTATTACGCATTTCTACTGCATATGCAGTAGCTAAGTGGTATCATATCTACCGCATTCGGATGCATGGCTTGTAAGGCCTTGTCCCGTCAGAGTAGGGCTCAGACAGTAGAGTAAATATGTGCATCTATGGGCTTTTGTACCATGTTCTCAAAATGGCAGCATATTTGTGTAAAACGTGTGATGCAGTAGCTAAGTAGTATTTTATCTGCCGCATTCTGATGCATTGCTTGTAAGGGCTTGTCCCATCGGCTTAGGGCTTGGACGGTAGAGTATATATGTGTATCTATGGGTTCCTGGACCATCTTCTCAAAATGGTAACATATTGGTGTAAAACGTGTGGCGAAATGGGACGTTTACAGCACTCATTAACCTTATGTAATCAATTTTCATGCAAAGTAATAACAAAATTTCAATAACTTACTCCGTAGGATGCTCAGTCACCTACAACTAGCGTACGCTTAAATCGTTATCAAGTATAACGCATTACATCTTTAAAGGCAATGTCCTATGCTTTACTGCGTAATCAAGTTATGTCTATCGAAGCATGCGATTATGCTTTCAGCATAATGAGTCCTGTATGTAGTTGAGTTAGGATAGGGCCATCTACATCTGGGGCCCGCAGTCATCTCCGTGATGGCAAACCCTCTTTTGCCCCCACCCTTGGCAGACTCCAGTCTGTCAGTGGGTAGATCTATGGTGCCGTGGGCACTCTGTTGCATGGGCAGTTCAGCAGATCTCCCCCACCCCCCCCATATGTAGAAACAGCAGGCCGGCTCCCCCAGATCCGCCCTAGCGAGTCCATGCCTCGCCCGGTTCCGGTCACATACTTGGCACCGGTGCGGCCCCCCGGAGGGTCCGTGCCTTCTGGCCCCCGGAGGGTCCGTGCCTTCTGGCCCCACAGGGCTCACTGAATCGGGGCAAAGTCCTCCGGCCCACCACAAAGTCCAAAGGGTCTGGCCGGTTCTGTGACAACACACCGGTCTCCCGAGGGTGGGCATCTGCGGGTCCTGACAGGCATCATAGACAATCCCACACACATCTCACATAGCCAGCACACCCGCTCAAGGGGAAATAAGGGAAGAGAGCCGTGAACACCTTGACAGGAGACTTGCTCTCATGCTCAGGACGGGGGGGGGCGACGCAAAAAGGCCGACTGACCCAGGCAACCGCTTCCCCCAACACAGATTCCGTGATGACCCTCCAGGGAGCGTGCAGGGGAGGCGAGGCCCCGGTTCACTCGGGGATCTAGAGGGCCACAAGGCAGCACATTGAAGGCAGGGCGCGGGGAGAGGGTGGAAGCCAGGCGTGGCCCAGTGGGGCAGAGCAGCTTACGCGAGGGGGAGGCAGGGGAACCGGGTCGATCCCAGAGATCCACATCTCACACTAACCTCAGAAAGCGGAGAGTTCATCTTAGCAACCATATCCAGAGTAGCAAGAACGGGGCACAATACGCTTACACCCCCTGCATTTATGAAGGGCAACTCGCTGCGGGAGCTTCACAGATACTGTGCTTATTGAATTTATTACATTCTCATTTTAATGTTATTGTTGAAAACATTGCTGGTCACGCCGGCCTAGCCGCACCGTTGTCTAACTTCAGTTTGAATATATACGTTAAACCTTAAGTATTAACTTGTATTATATAATGTTATATGCTCAGGGTGACGAACTGTCCATATACACGTCCTTTGGCGAGGACAGCTGACACCCCACCACGACAAGAGCCGCAAAAGGGAGACACGGGAGACTGACCGAACCAGTCCGTACAGAACAGGTGGAGACCGCGGGACGTACCACCTGGGAGCGGCTTTCCACACGGATACAACCTGCCGGGAGACCTCGGCCCTCCTCCTATTCCCCCACGGGACACGCGTCAAAACCAGGTGAGTGGGTCCTTGGGCCCACGGAAAGGCTCAGGACCTCACAAACACCCTGACGCAAAAACCCTAACGTCACCTAGGCGGCGGACACTTCAATTATTCCCCCCCACCTTACCCCTGACTCATCCCTTACCCATCTCCCTCCGACACCCGACGACAGAAGACTACGACATACATCCAGTCACTGAACATGACACTCACACCAGCCAACCTCACAATAGTATCCATCAACGCGAAGGGGCTGAAAAGAGGTCAACAGCCCTACGCGAGTTCCATGCTCTCAAGGCATCCATAGTCTACATACAAGAGACCCACTTCAAAGACGGGGCTCAACCCAGAATGCACGATCGGATTCCCCAAGGGGTTCTTCAGCGACTACCACAAGGGCAAAACCCGAGGGTTTTGTAGAGAGGGAGACAAAAACGGACCGGGAGGGAAGATACATATTCGTGAAAGGGACAATCGCAGGTCAAACATACACCTTTGCCAACATATATGCCCTCAACCAGAGACACTACAGATTTCTCTCACGGACACTACACCTACTAAGGAAATTTATGAAGGGCATCCTAGTACTGGGGGGAGATTTCAACCTGGCTTTGGACCTGAGATGGGACACATCCACAGGCGCCACGCACATCCCAGCCCAACACCTAGCCGCTCTCAAATCTCTGCTGTCTAAACAAAAACTAGCGGATTGCTGGAGACCCCGATGAAAGAGATTACACGTTCTTCTCCCACCATCACAACACATACACCAGAATTGACTATTTCTTCATGTCACACTTCCACCTCCCACTAGTCCTGCACGCGGAACACGGCATGGTGACATGGTCTGACCACGCCCCAGTGTCGATCACAATAACATCCCCCCTACACAGACCCACGATGACCAAATGGCGCCTAAACGAACACCTACTCACGCTACCGGATATAAAATCTGACATCAGCACAGTCCTTAGAGAGTATTTTACCATCAACACACTCCAACACACGACACCAACAATCCTATGAGAGGCACACAAGAGCGTGGTACGGGGTCACTTACTGCAAAAAGGTGCCCTCCTGAAAAAACGAAGGGAGGCAGAGATGACCGCGCTACTCACAGAAATACAGACGATAGATAACCTGAATAAGGGCAAACAGACACACGCTACAGGACAAGATCCTTACACTACGTAGGGACATGACTCGAATACTTCAGAGGAGACTGCACTGAGACACAAAGCGTTTTTCGCCCTACACAGCAACAAAAGCGGCAAACTGCCCGCGCGTATGTTAGCCAAACGTAGACAGCAGACATACATAGACCGCATCAGAGATGACAAAGACACGCTACACAGACTACCCACAGAGAGATCCAGGAAATAATCCGAACATACTATGCGAACCTGTACACCCTACCCTGACCTCAGTCACAAGCCGCGGACAAACGCCTACTGGACTCCATAAACTATTACCTAGCCACATACACTCTACCCACTCTAGACGGAGACACAGCGAACCTCCTCGATGAGGCGATCACACCCGAAGAGCTGGCCTTGGCGATTAAACAGACTACACCAGGCAAAAGCCCAGGCCCTGACGGTCTGCCACTGTGCTACTACAAAACCTTCGCGGACACACTCTACGCACCACTCGTGGCCACTTACAATGCCATCAGGGAGGGCCACCACTTCCCCGAACAATCCCTTGCGGCACACATCACCATCCTCTCCAAGGACGGGGAGCACTGCAGGAGCTACCGACCCATTTCTCTCATAAACTGTGACATCAAACTATTGGCCACCAGACTACAGACCCACTTGCCCCTGACTGGTATATCCTGACCAGGTGGGGTTCGTCATGGGAGGGGAGGCACGTGACAACACCATGCGCAGCCTCACACTGATGCACGGCCGCAGAGGCGACCACGGACGCAGAGAAGGCCTTCGACAAAGTCAGCTGGAAGTATATGTTAGAACACTCGCACACACAGGCATTGGCCACAAGGTCCTAGGATGGATAGAGGCCCTATACACACAGCCCTCCGCCCAGGTGGTGGTTAACGGAGCCTTGTCTGCGACATTCGACCTAAAGAATGGCACCCGCCAGGGCTGTCCCCGTTGCTCTTCGTCCTTGCCCTGGAACCACTCTTGCTGGCCATAAGAAATAACCCGGCCATCAGGGGAGTGACGGTAGGGACGACCCAACACAAAATTGCTGTGTACGCAGACGATCTGCTCTTCTACGTGACTAACCCAGAAGTATCCCTCCCCAACATACTCAAAGCATTTCACGACTTTGGTACCATATCTAACCTCAAAATCAATTTCTCAAAATCATACATACTTTAATGTCAGCGTACCAGAACACAGGGTGTCTCCCATGCGCCAACACTACACCTTCCAATGGGCAACTCACAAAATTCGATATCTGGGTATTTGGCTAACAAGGAAAGAGGACGACCTATTCAGGGAAAACTTCACCCCGATACACACGCAATTCCGCTCAGAGATGCGAGAATGGGCGTACCCACACATCTCCTGGTTAGGCAGGATACAGGTGGTCAAGATGAATTTCCTCCCACACCTTCTCTACCTCTACCATTTTTCACCACGCTCCGCACAGCACTAGGCCGATACATATGGAACGGGAAACAACATAGGATACGTCATACCACATTAACCCAACCAAATGACAGGGGCGGCCTGGCACTACCAGATTTCTCTTTGTACTACAGGGCCTGCCACCTCCTGAGGATCATGGAATGGTCCAAGGAAGGGGTGCATAAACTGTGGAAACCGGCCGAGGAGAGCGAGGCGGGAGTCCCTATGGCGGTACTTGGAGGGAGACACGGACACACTCCCCCTACACGAGGGCCACCCTACAGGAGTGGCACCGCATGAAAGGGAGACACTGACACACAACCCGGAATTCCCATCGGGACTAGACCCGAAAGCATTCCAAGCCCTAATACACGACCCAGTACCCAGACTCAGACACGTTTACAAGCCAGAGGGCATCAAAACGCTAAGCGACCTCTGAGGAGACGCAGTCAGCACCTTCCTGACACAACTAAAATACAGGCAGATACATCCCTACATCGCAACCCTCGCACAGGGCGCGATACTAACGAGCCCATACAACATTTGAGGAAGCATGCCTGGACCCACAACCATTGGCCCACGGGGTATCCTTCCTATACACTTTGCTCCTGACACTTACGCCAACCACACAACCAAGCTTCATGGGAAGGTGGGAGGGGACCCTGGGACACACTCTTACCAGGGTTGACTGGGAGAAAAATCTGCTACCTTACACATCACTGCTCCAGCTACAGCAAGACTCTGAAAAACCGCGTACAAAATATTGACCTTCTGGTACTGCATACCCAGGACACTACATGCGATCACACCAGACCATTCTCCGATGTGTTGGAGATGCGGAGTGGAGAATGGCACACTCTTGCACATATGGTGGGGATGTAGTAAGATCACCCCGTTCTGCAAGGAGATTCACACAATGCTACAACTCTTCTCAGATGACCCACCCCACTTTAGACCTGCGGAAATGTTGCTAAACCATACCAAGATACCCAGGTCCATATACAAAAAATCCCTGACCATACGCATACTGAATACAGCCAAATCAATCATACCACAATACTGGAAGCAACCTATTACCCCACCACTGAGAACCTGGTTCTCCCACATGTAGTTCTTATAGGGATTGTAGTTCCTCCAACACACAGCAGCTGGCACACAACAAACCTACCTCAACACATGGACTCACTGGCTTCTGAAGGCGACAAAACCAGACATCACCGACAGACTACGACTCGACGACGGAGACTGATGACAGACCCCAACGTAACCCAGACACCAGGCAATGACAAAAACCTGACCCCCACCACCTTCCACACCCCAACCCACTAGCTACAACTCAAACGGGACAGCTGGAACCATCCAGGAAGCCGCCCCGTATGGGGAAACAAGAGAGACCGCAACCACAGGAACCTCACAAGCGATTATGCTCCCAACACACAAGAAAAAACACAGAGAGTCACGAGGGGAACACCACAGGTTCCTCCACTGACCGACTTTGGTGAACCTATCATAGCGCACGCCACACAGCAGGGACTGACCTGCACCAGGCCCTTAGGGCACTTACCAACACCACATGGGATCCACCCACTAGAATACCTCCAGAACATGACCAACCAAACGAGACATATAGAGCAGCGTATACAGAGTCCCTAATATAACCGTTACCAAAAGGTTCATGCCCACGGGACCTGCATGTCCTTCCACCACAGAGGGCCTGTGAGCCCACCTGGAAATGCACATATCAGAACTTGTTAATCTCCTATTGCTTTGATAAGCGGTGGACCTGCGAGTCCAGAAACCACCTTATTTCTCTTGTCAATTTAAAACCAATAAAAATTAAATTTACAAAAAAAAGCCTCAGTGTGTAAAATTCTATTACGTCTGTTTGTGTAAAATGTTTTTTGTAATGCGGAGTAGAAAATAAATCTATGCCTTTTTGTTAGTTGGTTATCTTTGAGCAAGAGTGCAAAGTATGATTAAACTATAGACTGTAAGCTCGTTTGAGCAGGGTCCTCTTCAACCTATCGTTCCTGTAAGTTTCTTTGTAATTGTCCTATTTATAGTTAAATCCCCCTTCTCATAATATTGTAAAGCGCTACAGAATTTGTTGGCGCTATATAAATGGCGATAATAAACTTAGCCAATAAGTGATTAGAAATGTTATGGGTAAGTTATGAAATGCTCATCTTGTATAGTAGTCAAAGAACAGCTCTTTAAGGTCCATAGATGCTGTCATGGTGTTTGAAGGTTTTGCTTGTTTTGTTGAAAACCAGGAGTCTTTCTAGCACCCAAGATTTGTCCATTCTGCTTGAGAAGAGTTTTTCCTTATTTATTATCTGGCCAATATATTTATATGGGTTACTAGGATTCTGCTGTGCAGAATCAGCATTTAAGGGACGCTATAGGCACCCAAACGATGTAGAATATATATATTTTTTAAATCCATGAACTGATTTCTTATCTTAAACATTTGAGTTCTACACACTGCATGAGTTATTTGAAGATAGAACTTTTTTTTTTTTTTCCAGTTAGAAGCAATTTGGAAAGACTTTTTTTCTTTTCTTTTTGTAATGTATGTCTATTATGTAATGACTTTAAAGGACCACTATAGTGCCAGGAAAACATACAAGTTTTCCAGGCACTATAGTGCCCTGATGGTGCCCCCACCCTCAGGGTCCCCCTCCCGCCGGGTTCTGGGGAGAGGAAGGGGTTAAAATCTTACCTTTCTCCAGCGCCGGGCGGGGAGCTCTCCTCCTCTTCTCCTCTTCGGTTTAATGCGCATGTGCGGCAGGAGCTGCACGCGCATTCAGCCAGTCTCATGGACGCTTGCATCTTCTCACTGTGATTTTCACAGTGAGAAGCACACAAACGCCTCTAGCGGCTGTCAGAGACAGCCACTAGTGGCTTTAGAGGCTGGATTAACCTATTTATAAACATAGCAGTTTCTCTGAAACTGCTATGTTTTATAAAAAATAAAAAAGGGGGGGGGGGTTAACCCTAGCTGGACCAGGCACCCAGACCACTTCATTAAGCTGAAGTGGTCTGGGTGCCTAGAGTGGTCCTTTAACATCTACTTTATTTACCATGAACACATAGCTTGACCTAGTTTTATTTAACAGGTTTGTGACTGTTGTATCAATGCAAGCTTGATCAGCATTTTCAGTTGTGTGGTTTTAAACAAGTTATTTGTTCGAAACCATTTAAGCAGCAGACTGTGTGCATGGTGTAGCGTGTCTGTGTACGGTCTTATAGCACAAGTGAAAGATGTTAGGTCTGCAAAGGGAGCTTCATCTAGGAAAACTGGGTTATTCAGTTCTGTGTAAATCTGCATCAAAATGGGTTAATTAACCCCAAACCTTCTGAATGGTTTTTGTTGCCTTTTAGGTATTATGTTATATAGATTCTTTGCTATTAAATTATGTTAAAAAAATAAATATTTGTGCAGCAAGGGCATTTCGCTTTAACAAAGTGCACAGTAGCTTACTTCAGGTTGGATATGATTTAATACGAATATAACAACAAATCTACTGTGGGAGGGTGTAGATGGCAGTCTTCCCACTGTTAACCAGGAAGATGGCTTGGATCCAGACCACTTTGCAATTTGTCAGGATAACTTTGGAAGGGTTCCCAGCAATCTTAACTCCATTCTACGCAAGAGAGACATTTCCAGATCTGATGTAACAAGCTAGCAAAAAAAAAAAAAAACAGATCAAAACCCGTTAACATATGCCAAAAAAATAACAAAAACCTCGTGCATTTGGCTAAGAAACCTCTAATGAGCACATGTGTAACAAATATTAAGATCATGGTTAAATGACAGAGCATCACATTTTCTGGTAGGCTAGTGGAAAGCTGTCACGGTGTGTATGTAGATTTCACCAGCGGTCACCTTAAAAGTACCCATTAACTACTTCGCTGTTAGCCCTATTTAAGATTCCATCTGAAAATAAGTCAAGTGCTGCTAGCAGTTTGTGGCTATCTGTAACAGGAGAAGCCTGCATTCTTCACACTGAAACATGGAAGTGGCCTGTATTTGGATACAACGGCAGCTATAATAAAAGTATATGGCATTGTGTCCTCTCATTATGTTCCTTATGTTTTATTTGTATTGCCTTCCATTAAGGTGAAGTATTAAAAAAAAAAAAAAAATAGATAGAAACAATATTTAAAGTGTCCCTTCTGATGTCGTGGTTTTGTTTTTAACCAGTAGGATTTCCTAGAAAGACTGAAAAGTGAGATTGGCATGACAATGAGTTATTGACCTATTTTTGTTTTTGTCTCCACAGAAGCTTCAGACATTATGAAAAGTATCGGAGAGGCCATACAGTATCTACATTCAATTAATATCGCTCATAGAGATGTAAAGGTATGGTCATCTGGGAAACCAACAATCTTAACCCCTTCCCGACCGTGGACGTACCAGGCACGTCCGACAAAAAATAGTCGTTAACGATCTCGGACGTACCTGGTATGTTCGCAGCAAAAATGTCCCCTGGACCGGCGATCCCGGTCAGAGGAGTATTGCCAGAGACCCCAGCAGTCCCCATGCAGCAGTTCTGGCCGACGGTGCCATGTGATCACCATGATCACATAGCCGCAATAAGAGTCTCTGGAGCTGCAGGCAGGGAGACTGTCTGAGCTGTCACAGTCCCCCAGGCTGCTAAAAAGTAAAGATAAAGATAATAATAAATTAAATATTATAAAATAACTAAGGCATTTTATAATATATTATACATATAATATGTATGATTGCATTATAAGTGTACTTTGAGATGTGTATATACACGTATATCTCAAAATACACTTGTAATGTAATCATATATATTATTTCTTTTTTTATTTAGCGCCAGGAAATTCCGTAGCGCTGTACAATGGGATTATATATGTATAATATGTTCTAAAAGGCTTTATTTTATAATATATTGTACATATATAGGAAATAAGAGTGTTTTTTATATACACACGTTATATATATATTTATTTTGTGTGTATGTGCGCAAGACACCTAATGATATATACTCTGCCCACCTCAGTAATATAAGAGCCACACGAACCAAGAGCCATGCCGGCTCAGACGTCGCCCGGATTAAGACAACCCAGGCACAGTCCAGAGAACTTAATTCACAAGCCTTATATTTATCCTTGAAACTTTCCAAAACACCATAAAACCTGTACATGGGGGGGGGTTTGTTATACTCTGGAGACTTCGCAGAACACAAATATGAGTGTTTAAAACAGTAAAAGTTATCACAACAATGAAATCACCAGTAAAAGGGCAGTTTTTGTGTAAAAAAAAAAAAAAAAAAAAACAATAAAAAAACAAACAAATATGAATGTTTACTTTGGCAAGCGTTTGTGGCTAAGCGGCTACGACAAAAGACTTGGCATACTCTATTTTGAATACCCTGGGTTGTATAATTTTTTAAATGGTATGTCATGGTAGGGTTAATTTCCATTTATGGGCTACCATACCATCTCAAAGGCAACATAGTCAATTATGTTTGACTGTAACTTTCCAAATCACCATAAAACCTGTACTTGAGGAGTACTGTTTTATTCGTGAGACATTACACTACACCGATATGAGCGTTTTAAAGTAGTAAAATGTATTATACTGATATCATCAGTGAAATGGCAGTTTGTGTTAAAAAAAATTAAAAAAATTAAATAAACGCTAATTTTGGCCAGGGTTTGTGACTAAGTGGCTACTAAAAAAGACTGGACATACCCCATTTTGAATACCGTGCGTTGTTTTAAAGTTCTCCGTACATGTATTCTTAAATTGCTATGTGTCAAAAAAATCATTTATTTTAATTTTTTTAATTTGACATAGCTTGGTGGTAAAATGGTTGTACGAAAAGAGTCGTCATATCCCAAGTTTAAAACCTTAGGTTGTCTCCTTTTAAAATATATATTTATATTTATATATATATATATATATATATATATATATATATATATATATATATATATATATATATATATATATATATATATATATAGGGTTATTCAGGCAAATATCAATGTTACAATGTAACTTTCGTTAATGTTGAAAACAAAAAAATGATTTGGAAATAACAAAGTGCTATTTGTACTTTTTGCCCTATAACTTGCAAAAGAAAAGCGAAGAACATGTTATAATTGGGTATTTCTAAACTCAGGACAAAATTTAGAAACTATTTAGCATGGGTGTTTTTTGGCGGTTGTAGATGCGCAACAGATTTTGGGGGTCAAAGTTAGAAAAAGTGTTTGGTTTTTTTATTTCAGCATAACTTACAATTTTTTTTATATAGTAATTTATATGATATGATGAAAATAATGGTATATTTAGGAAGACCATTTAATGGCGAGAAAAACAGTATATGTTTGTGTACAGTAAATGAGTAAGGGGAAAATTACAGCTAAACACAAACACTGCAGAAATGTAAAAACATTCCTGGTCCTTAACGGTAAGAAAATTGACAAACGGTCTGGTCACAAAGGGGTTAAAAGAAGGGCTCAGTGAGCCAGAATGTAACCTGTGTGACAATAAATTGCCCTTTTAGCACTGCTTATGTCCAAGTCCTGTTTGTATATAAACTGTGGAGGAATATGTCTGCTCATGGAGCCCTAGGAGAGTATTATTTCAATTTGGGTGTGTGTTCTCTATCAGATAAACCAGGAGCCAAAATTCCATGCATGCTAATCTTTGAATACTTTATAGCAATTATGCAGGTTAAAACAATACATTTATATAAATAAGTCTTCCCTCTGAATGTCCCTCTTCTGTGGCAGATACCCATGTGTTACTATAATCGAAATGCTCTTTAAAATGGCATTTGGTTGAAGTGATAAAGGTTTATGATGGATTTATACTAGTGAGGCTACACAGGGCAACAAATGTAGACCAATAATTTACTGGCTTTTTATTCAATACTTGCTGTGGATTTTTTCTGCCACTCTTTGAAAAGGAGTATAGAGAAAGGTGGCAAGGATGCAAAAACCACACAGTTTACACAATTTAACCCCATTGATTTTGTGGCTAATCTTCTTGTAAATATATTGTGTAGAAAATAGGAGAGCTACAGATTATAGTAACTAGATTTCTCTCATGGAAACTGCTGTGATCTAATAATGTTCTTTGTAATGCAGCCAGAAAATCTTCTGTACACATCAAAAAGACCAAATGCAGTGTTAAAGCTCACTGATTTTGGCTTTGCTAAGGAAACAACATCTCACAACTCACTGGCGACACCTTGTTACACACCTTATTATGTGGGTGAGTAAGTGGAGAATATGGGTATTTGCATGTTTTTTAGATTTTTGAACACATCTAGCCTGTTTTAATGTTGCCTTTTTCAAGATTTTTTTTCTAATGTTAGTATGTTTGTGTTTAAATACATATTTTGATGCACTCAAATAGGAGTCTTGTAACAATTAAAGGGCCGTGTCCTCCAAAAGTTGATGGCACGGTCATTTTCAGGTAGCCATAGAAATGGAATCCATGCAAAATAGTTATTGATGTGTTCTGTTCTAAAAATGTGAAGCAGAAATGGAATTGAGAAGTAGTCACCAAGAGAACATGTCTGCTGGTTCTAGTGCTTTGTCAATTGCCCCATTTTAGACCATCTTTTTAGAACAAAACTGTTTGGTAAATTTCTCCCTATGTATTTTGTAGGCAAAATTTGACAGAAAAAAGTATGAATTAAAATACAAACATATATCTGAAAAATTACTACCCCAATTAATTTGCATGACTGTTTAAAAGAGTCCTATTTTGCATGTGAGCTATATTAACAGTGTTTTTTCTGTCTACATTACCTAAAAGTCATTGTGTATATCTTTATCTTATAGCACCAGAGGTTTTGGGACCAGAGAAATATGACAAGTCCTGTGATATGTGGTCACTTGGCGTCATAATGTATATTCTGTAAGTTCCAATATGTAAATGTCACTATACTGTGCTGTGGGGTATTGAGGGATTTATATGAGGGAGCAATACAATCTAGCCTTGATGGTTTTTTTTTTTTAACGTGACATTTTCTTACTCTGCCTTAGACTCTGTGGTTATCCTCCTTTTTACTCTAATCATGGATTGGCCATCTCCCCTGGAATGAAAAAGCGGATCCGTATGGGGCAGTATGAGTTTCCAAACCCAGAGTGGTCGGAAGTCTCCGATGAAGGTGAGATTGGAGGAGGTTATAATGCAAATAATGAAGTTCACTTAAGTACTTCACAATGAAAACCAAATGTATCAATTTGTTATACTGCCCACAAAGTAACCTGTTGATTTAAAAAAAAATTATAGGGAGGAGTTGACCGAAATACTGGAGTCAGTTTAATCAATTTTATTAATACCGATGGACTTTTAGATATAACTCCCATATGTATGCAGTGTGAATTGGTTCAAAAAATATCTGGAACTGTAGAGAAGAACAATAAATTGGAAAGGCGATCTTATTTTACATTGGCTTGTATGTGCCTAATTTTAAAGGGACACTATTGTCACCAGTACCACAACAGCTTAATGTAATGGTTCTGTTTTTCTATAACCTATCCCTGCAGGCATTTCAATGTAAATGTTTCCTTTTTATAGAAGAGGCAGTGTATATACATTGGTCCCTAGTAAGCACCTCTAGTGGCAGTGACTAAGACGGCCACTAGAGGTGCTTCCTAGTCTCTACGCTGAATGCTCCCCATAGAGATTAGATGCTGATTGGCGCAACACTGCGTTTTGCAGCACATGCACAATAGCCGGGGGAACTATATTTGATTGGCTGAGATCATCCAGGTTGATGATCACCACGGAGGTGGAGCCTGGAGGGCCAGCAGCGACAAGACAGGCACAGCATTGGAGAAAAGGTGAGTAAAATCACCTTTTCTATGCGATCGGAGTGGGGCTGGTCACCTAAACAGCCATGCAAGCACTATAGTGTCAGGAATACCAGTTTATATACCTGACTCTCTATAGTGTTCATTTTAAAAAGTGAGACAGGTAAAACAATTAACTAAAAATAACCACCTCTCCCATACCTAAGTTTCTGTTTGAACAATCACCTCCCAAAATATTGGCCAAGGTCTTTTTTAAGGTAGGATGCAGTGTCGGTGGCAACACATCTGTGTATACACCCACTAAAAATTGAAGCTATAGAATTATAATAACTATTAGAAATGTAAAAAGTAAACCTGGATATTCCACACAATTAAACAGCTGTCGCATAACCTTTAAGTGCCCATTAATTGTTTCATTGTATTACGGTATTTCTACATATAACCTAGAATAGGTTATTTTGAGGCTTTTAGGCACTGCCTTTGTTTTCTCTTTAATGCAGTACTGCTATTTATGCATTGATTCAATTGACTCTGGTCTTGTGATCCCGAAAGTCCAATCTTTACTTTTTGTAAAAAGAAAACAAAAAATGTAAACCATGTTTTGATATAATTTGCATCTTCTCAGTCATTGGGTTAAAAAACCCAAAACACAAATATGACCAAATGAGTACCTGTTGTGGAATAAAGAGAAAGCAAGGACTGGCACGTTAAAACTCTGACACACTATATATATATATATATATTAAAGCTTTTAGCTGTATGAGACATTTCACTGGTACTTTGTGTATCGTATGTGACAATATTTCACACATTTAAGGCTTTCTTGAAATGTTCTAAAACCAAAACCTAGAAAACCTGCATGGTTAAGATGGAGGAAATTGTACTTGCGCAATTATGAGGTGTTTGCCGTAACTAACTTGCTGAAGAATGAGAAAGTGTCATGCTTGTCGAGATCCTGATTGAATACCACGTTTATGAATTGCGCAGAGAGAGAGATGGGTGCATGTAATATAATTTTAAAGATTCTTTTTTTTTTTTTAAATGTACAATGGTATTTCCTATGTTTTTCATATCCTGTTGCAGGTCTGCTTTGTTTGTGTCTCTGCCATTGTTTAAAGGATCACTCCAAGCACCATAACCACTACCGCCTGCTCTAGTGTTTATGGAGCCACGATTGCCCTGATCTCTTTGTATTCTGTTAAACGGTTCTAGAGTGGTTATTATACATTCAGTTTTCATCTGTAGAAGCCAGATGACTCGATTCTGCTGGCATAGCCATATAGTGGACTACACTAATTGGCTAAGAAAACTGAGCGGATTCTTTCGGCCTATGAGCGCCTTCTTGCATGGTCCTGCTTAGCCCAGTGCACCTTACTAGCTAACCTGCAAGTAGAAACCAGGGGTTGTGGCCATGGGCATCCAGCAGAACCTTCAGGAAGTTGTCAAACTGTTCTAAACTGGATTGACAAATTACACTGGGATGCTACATGGCCACTCCTGGCATTATAACCAGTAAGTTTCTTTATATTGCATCATCACCTTCTAAACTTTTGTTTTACCTCTGTAGTGAAGCAGCTGATTAGGAATCTCCTGAAGACTGATCCAACTCAGAGGATGAGCATCACAGAATTCATGAACCACCCATGGATAATGGTAAGTTATGCAACAAGGAGCAGATACATTTTTCCGTTATCAAAATACTATTTTCCATAGGGGTATTTAAAAAAAAAAAAAAACTGTTTGTGATAGTGGGCAATAGTTGTTCTTAAGTTCTGTTCCAAACCTGTATGAATCACAGAAAGTGAAAACCTGCCAGGATTCCTTGTGACTTTTGACCTGGATGAATTCAGCACTAATGGCATCTAGAGATTCTAGCGTAATTCAATTTGATGAAACTCAATTTTGCAGCAGCTCCATTTTGAGTAGTTTCTCCACATCTACTGAGCTGATATCTCATAGATATATACTGATCCGATCGTTATTTATATGTATGTATGTATGTGTGTGTGTGTGTGTGTGTGTATATATATTTTGATCGAGTCAGCCGTGGTGAAACTAGCACTGCGATGGAGAAAAGGTAAGTAAAGCTAACACTTTTTTTTTTTTTTTTTCTGGAGTGGAGCCAGAGAAATAAATGGTGAACAGGTAACTTTTTTTTTTAAAGGAACATATTTGTATTCCTAACATTGTATAGTGTTCTTTGAATTGCAATTCAATTATGATAATTGGGGTTTCTGGACACAGTCTTAACCCCAAAATCTCCAAGTCCTTGACCGATCGCTCTGCCCCTGCACTTCCACACGGTGTACAAGGGATTCAGTATATAAGCCTTGCACTTCCCACCACTGGATCAGTCTGCTGATGCTCTCGGTGAATCAGTAGCTCCCCACTTAATAACATGAGTGAAAAGGTACATATAATTTATTTTTGTATTTTTTTTAACTCACCTGTTTCAATAATGCATTACTGATGGACTGAGAGCATCAGTTGATTATGGAAATCAGACATTAAGTGGAAGTGCAGGGGGAGATGTGATCTGGTGCCTCCTTACAAACTTTCCAGTTAAACAGTTCATTAACAATTTAACTACTTCAGGTAAAACTGAGCCTGGGAACACATCGCACTAGAACAGGTGTAGGCAACCTAGGGCACATGTGCCATGCACGGCACTCGAGGTGTCTTTGCACGGCACTCAAGGCTGCCAGAGCCAAACAGGGTCTGGCCTATCAGGAGTCTCAGTGAAACTTCAGATATCTGCTAATACGAAAAGGTGGTGAAGGACAATCCTCAATTTATGCATTGCAGCATGTAGAGGAAGTGATCTCAGATCACTTCCTCCCAGCACTTGTGAATGGGAATCTACACTGTAGTAGAGCAGCCCGTAGCTCCTGTCCTTGAGCTGTACCTGGCGAACGTGGTTCCCACTGGAAACCAAGAAAGCCACCCACACTGCTAGATATACACTGAAATGCAGAATAACTCCCCTCATACAAAAAATACGAACAGCCCACACACACACACAAAATGTAATCCTCACAAACTCAACACCACCAACAATCCACATACATGCACACAACCCCACTTGGAATATCCCAAACAGCCCCACACATACACACAATATGACATAGCCATCAACACACGCAATTCCACAAGCAACCATCATACATAGGTATCATACACAACACCACAAACTACTTGTGAACATATACAATATAATAGCTCATATATGCATGATACAAAGCAACTGCAGAATAAATAACACAAGAAGAATACAGCAACATGCACACCTCAATTAAAAAAAATAGGACCGGCACGCTATGGAACATCACAATCGACACTGCTGCTAAAAGGTTGCCTACCCCTGCACTAGAACAACTCCTTTAAATGAGGTTATGGTGCCCAGAGTGTCCCTTTAAAGCATTTCCAAGTATTGCATTAACAATTAAGATTGACCCCATCCTTCTAGGTGGTTTTGAACGGTTTGGGGTTTATTGGAATTTGTAATATTAGTTACTAGAGTAAAGGAAAACAGTTTACTAATTCTTCATTGTCAAATTCAGCAGTCCATGCAGGTGCCACCTACTCCTCTTCACACCAGCCGAGTCTTGAAGGAAGAGAAAGATTTGTGGGAAGATGTTAAGGTTAGTTTTGTCCCTTTTCCAATCTCTCTTCTATGGTGTCCTTGTCTTAAAGCTTTGATTCACTCTCTTCCTCTCTTTCATTCTCTAATTTCTTTGCTTTCTCAATCTTGCAGGAGGAGATGACCAGTGCCCTCGCTACCATGCGAGTAGACTATGAACAGATCAAGATAAAGAAGATTGAAGACTCTTCCAACCCTCTCCTGCAAAAGAGGCGAAAGAAAATAAGCCCTGATGTTGCCACTCACTGATCTTGCTCTTCTCTTCCTTTTGTAACAAATGGTGCCAATCATGCCAGCTCAGTGTTAACTGTACACGCAGCTTGTAAATGCCACACTAATGAGAGAGCAGAGGAATGGGTCTCTTGGACGGGTTTCCAGAATGGGACTTAAGATTTTTAGTGCTTCTGTACGTCATGTTTAGTCTGGAAGGTTTTATGTTAATTTTGTACCTTTTTTTTTTTTTCCCCCTTCATATCATTTAAAGATTTAATTTTCTCCTTTTTTTTTTTCCTTCAATTTTAGAGGATATTCGCAATATATTTTATATGTAAAGTATTTTTTAAAAATGGCACACACTTGCGGGATACCGAAAAGGGGAATTTGATCTGCACTGCAATATTCCTTACATGTTACTAATAATAAACTGTGGTACAACATGCATGTGCCATTTGTACATGCGTATCTATGTATTATTCTATACATGCCATCCCCTTTTTTATCGGTGGAATGGACAGTCACAAAGTAATAAACAGTGGTACTGCATATTACTTATTATATGGAATATTACCACTACATGTGTTAAGAGCACATCCTTTGCTGCACTGGCAGGCTGTGCAGGATACCCCACTGTCCCAAGGGAACAAACTGAATCTCTGTTACTCCAAAGACTAGTGTGTGGCCATCTGAGTTTTAATATTGTGCGGTGAGTGGCTCCATTGATGTTATGTTAGCTATATGGCAAATTCACCTTTTTTTTTAGGATCTGTTGTAAATATAGCAAATTTAAAAGCCTGCTTTTAACCTCCTGAAAGCTTGTCATGCTGGGTTACAAGCCTGTTTTATTGTCACTTTTTCAGTGTTCATATGTACATTTTATTTTCCTTCTCTTTTGTGCCTGTATATTCATCAAGTTGCCTTAAATGCAACCAAATAATGACCCTATACTGTTCTTTTTTTATTTTCCCTCAATTTATTTTAGGATACATATACCAAGGATAATCATGCATACCTCTTGGAACCTTTTGACCGTTTTAACAGTCTGTTCTCAAGCCTGAAAATTATGTATTCTAAATTTAAGGTCTATACAATATGCATGGCAAATGACAACCTGATCAACTGATCGTGATTTGTTTTTGGCGATCTGGTTGTGATGATGATGCTGCTGTAGTTGACAGTTTTTTTTATTTTATATTTCAATTATTGTACAAAGTGAGAAGAAAAGAAAATAACTGATTGGGATTGGACTCTTTCCTTTCTTGCTGTAATTATGGCATGTGCTTATAAGGAAGAAAAAAAAATCACTACTTTTCGAATTTATTTTTTTTCCGCTCTTTTAAAAAAAATCTTTTTTGGGAGGAAGTGGGGGACAAAATCTTTAAAACACTTTTTTTTTTTTTTCTATAGTAGCTTCTGTACATAGAGCTATACTTATCTGCCCCACAATGCACTCTCATTTAAAAAACATAAAAACTCTGTGATTAGTACAGAAGGATTTACAATAGTTACCATGTCCAGCCAATTTTTTTTTTTCTTATTATGCTGGTATGAAGAGTGCAAAGAAACAAGGGAGGGTCTATTTTTATAATTCTGACTGCTTTTTGATTACCCTTTTTAAAATCGGTTATTCTTTTCTTTGCTCCGTAAGAGTTCAACACTCCTGCAAGCAATATATCTTTTGGAATTGTTGTAAAATTATAATTTTCTATGATCAGATTGTTTTACTAAACTGTTTAATATTTGGAAAATCTTGCTGTCTTGTTTTAATGACATTTGAGCACATTCAAATCTCAGTGTGTATGGGGCAGTGCATGATGTGGAAGGATTGACAAGATCGTATCTATTAATTAGAATTGAATTACATAAAGACTTAACCAATTATGCTCATTGCTAGGAACCTTTGTGAAGAAAAGTATATGGGCAGGCATACGCAAGAGAGACCCCTACCATGCCTTTAGCCCAGAGGTGACCACACAGAAGTAGAGAAAATAGAACTGGTCACTGGTATGAGGTGCACAGCAAATTTCATTGGAGAATATACCGCAATGTTTGTCTTATGTAAAGGCTCTTACAGGATTATTTACTAAGAAGGGGAAATCAAGGTGAATTTAAAAGTTTAAGGCCTGAGTAGCTGCACTGAAAACATAAGTCTGGCTATTTTGACCTTAAATTTCCAGTTCACGTGGCTTAAAAAATAAATAAATCAACAAAAATTGATTGTTCTAGTATGGCCAAATAGGTTCTTTTATAACATGTGTGCTTCTAAATGACTAATCCTTTACATCAATCTGGGCTCTTATGTGATACTGTGTGTCTGAATAGCAGGTCTTGGGCAGTGAGGAATGTTGCAGGATAGGCATAGGCAACCATCTGCATTCCAGGTGTTTATTATTTATTTTTAACTACACCTCCCATAATGCTTCGCTAGCATTATGGGGGGATGTAGTCCACAACATCTGGAGTGCCAAAGGTTGCCTATCTCTGTTCTTGGAGATACAAAAATAGCTATAACCGGTTTCCTGTCTTGTGGTTAATCCATCCAGCAATTTGTTTATTTTATTTTTTTACTCTTTGTTTTCAGTGACCGTAATCCACAAAATTAACAGTGACCGGTACACACTATCAAAAGACATAAAATATACAATGCAATAAACATTTTGCAGGTGTGTAGTAACGTAACAAACATCACAGGAAAACCATATAAGGTGCCCCATTAAGTGTTTCATTCTGCAATGACAACAGGACCAGCTATTTGTGTGTATATGTGTGTGTGTGTATATATATGTGTGTGTGTATATATATATTATGTATATATGTGTGTATATATATATATATATATATGTGTGTGTGTGTGTGTGTGTGTGTGTGTGTGTGTATATATGTGTGTATATATATATATATATATACACACATATTTAATATCAGAATAAAATGGTACGCAAGCAGAAATATTGGTTCGAGAATGTTGCAATGTAAAAACTAGACCTCTCACACTAGATTTCTCACGCACTGTGTGCTCAGCTGTGCCATTATCCTGATGGAGAGCAGAGGGAAAGGAAGATAAGGAAAAGGCTCTGTTCTGTGGCTATGTTGTGTGAAGAGAGAACGGAGGAGATCTAATTCTCGGTGTGGTTAATCCATTCTGGGAGGAAAGGGAGTACACGGCGGTCAACCTCCTGCGGGAGCGAAGAAGCACAAGATATATATGGTCACAGCCCCGCCACTCCCACCGTTCTACCCACTCATATCGCAGGTCAGCCATGGGTTCCATATGCTGTCAAACTTTTTCATTGTGCCTCTGACCCAGGCTGTCAATTTGTCCATTAGGTAGGTATATATTATCTTCTGTACTACAGCTCTCATGGGAAGGAAAGTTGGTTTTATCCAGGCTTGTCAAGCGGGAAGGGACCATTTATGTTGGAGTATTTTTTTTCAGTTTTTGTCCAGTCATCTAGTGACCTACATAACCCAGGGGTTAAATTAAATTATCCTCTGTAAAAACATCAGACAATAGGTCTCTGACTTTCCCCAGAACATTTGTTTTTTCAGGCACTTCCACCACATGTAAATGTACATATCCTTCTGACTGTATCTCCGCTGACATACATTATTTATAGTCTTATGCATGTGAAAGAGTTTGACAGGTGTAGTATACCAACAAAACATGGTCTTGTAAAACTGCTCCTGCAAAGTGACACATAGATTAGGTGTTGTTTGCCTCTGAAATTTCCTGCCATTCTATGCCCTCTGTGGTCTCCCCCAAGTCCCGTTCCCATTGATTAGTGTAACTTGAGAAAGGACTTATGAGGACACATCTTCTCACAAATTGTCACCTGGATCCCTGCAGTTTCTCGAACAAGTGTTTGTTGAGCAAGTCTTTAATCTAAAGGTAGCGGGGAATAAAAAACATCTGCGGGCTTCAGTGGTGCTCTATTCTGTAAGTATGTAAAGGATATAATATTTCCACCATTGTATAGGTGACATCCACTTTAGTCCTGTGCGTTCTATCCCCTTGAAATAACATGCTCTTATTCCCGGTTGAAAAGCTCTATTCCTCAAGAACATCATCATTGGAGGTGAGCCCATATTTCAAAGCATTCCCATTCCAGACCTTGAGGGAGTTCAAAATAGATGGGCAAGTAGTATGTAAAAGGGGTCTAGACTCTCTAGGGACCCACATGTAAAACTATAGGAGGTCCACTCTCATTAACAAAGATTCTAGATCTTCCTACTTTCTTTTATCGTAGCACCATAGTGCTAATTGGGCTACCAAGTAATAATAGTACAGGTTAGGAAAGCCAAGGCCACCTGCTGCTTTAGAGCGACATAAAATATTGTAGGACACCCTACTATGCTGTTTATTTCTCCAGATAAAGTTCCCTATCTTCTGTTGCAGAAGGGCTAGATTCAGCTTGGTAATTAGAATTGGGGTGGCTTGGAATAAAACTAAGATTTGAGCTAGGACATTTATCTTAACAGAATGTACTCTTCTGATCCATGAGATCAGTTTGTCAACCCATTTATCTATTTCATCAATCAATGCCTTAAACATCTGGATGTAATTTTGCTGGTGTAGGGTCTGTTGTCAGTTTAATATTTAGATACTTAATATGGTGATGTGCTATTTGGATATGATCAGTGTTGCCAATGAATGCTGTCTGTCGCCGAGAGGCCTATAGGAAGGGCACTAGATTTGCTAAATTACCTTTATAACCTGACAACTTGCTATATTCATCTAAGACGACTGCTAATGCTGCCATAGATTCCTTAGGGGATGTTAACATTCGTAACACATCGTTTGCAGTGACTCCATGCATCTGGGGATGGGCGAAAATAGCTTGCAAAAGGGGTTCTAGAGAGATAATGAAACGTTGCTATGTTTAAAGGGCATGGCGGGAGCTCCAGGCATTCTAATTAATGCTTTGACATTGGTGTACATAGCTTTGATCGCCGTAAGGAATTGTTCTGGGAAGCCCAAATGGGACAGCAGATCCAAAAGGTAGGTCCCTGTCAAATGCCTTTTCAGCGGCTAAGGACAGGATCAAGGTAGGAATTCTAGTCTCAACCTGTCTCCATAAAATCTCAATGTTTCATCTGGTGTTTTCGAACAATTGTCGGCCCGGAACAAAGCCCACTTGATCCATGTGAATCAGACGTGGCAAGATGGGGTTCAGGCGTTCCGCTAGAATCTTGGCGATTGTCTTTGCATCGTAATTGATTAGCGAGATGGGCTGAAAGTTTGCAGGGAGTGAGTCATCCTTACAAGGTTGTGTCTCAATCAATGAGGTCGCTAAACCAAGATTCCATGTGAGGCACCAGGCCCTCACAAAAAACCTTTTAGTAACATAACCATCTGGTCCAGGGGCTTTGTGACCCTTAAGCGAAGTAATCGCAGCATCAACTTCATTGGCTGTGATCCTACTCATCATGGTTTTGATGGGTTCTGAATTAAGGCACTTTTGGCAAAACCAGTTTAGAGAGGAAAGTATGTATGGCAGGTGTTGTCTCCCCTATTAACTGGGTCATGGAGAGTGTGATTATAGTGTACACAATAGAAATCTGTGAATACAGTTGCAATGTCACATGGTTTTTAAGGACCACGAAGCGCGCTTGATCTTTGTGATGTGAGGGTGCCTCTGTCTTGGCCTGAGGGCTCTAGCAAGGAGCGAGTTCCATCTTATTAGATTTCTCATATAAGGTCCATCTAGACCAGATGATAGGTCAGTTCTTACCCTGGAGCTTGTTCACCTTGTTCGTGGGGACGTTTCCACCGAACAGTGCCCTTCTAAGTTGTGTAGAACTGAATGCAGGCGATCCTGGAAGTCCAGCGGTGTTTGGGAGTTTGTGTCTGAAAACAATTCCGTGAACTCGATGGCCAAACACCACTGCCTGCGTTCGCGGGAACAAGATTGCTGCCACCTTGTGGTCGTTCATGCGAACACCGGCCAACCAGATGAACACTTAGAACACTGCGGTGGAAAGTGTTACAAACTATCAATAAGGCTTAACAAGCTCCAGGGTGGTCTCTGGTTTGTGCGCCTGTTCGATTCCCAAACCATATATAAAATCCCACAAACCAAGTCTGTTCACATAGTTTTTAAAGGGCCCATAGTCTTTTGGCAGGAGGCTGGCAAGAAGGCCCCTCCAAGAACACGTGGCAGAGACATTTCTGCCACATACACCTAAATAGATGTTTGTTTTTTAATTTTCTCCAACCATTAGATGTTTGAAAATGTAACACCAGGAGATGATCCCAGCACATTTTCTGGATTTAACTCTTTAACCCCTTAGCGACCGAGGACGGTTCAGGACCGTCATCGGCATTTTTGCCTTGAGGACCGATGACGGTCCTGAACCGTCCTAACGGTCTGGGGGTACTTACCTGATCGCCGTCGTTCCCCCGGCGGCGATCAATGTTGCTCCGGTTGTGGGGAGACTGCCTGCAGCCCAGACAGTCTCCCCACACTGATTTAGGACCCCTGTGGCCATGTGATCGCTTAACAGAGCGATCACATGGTCACAATAGGTGTCCATAGTGCTGCCTGCAGGGGGACTGTCTGTGCTGACAAGCAGTCTCCCTGCATGTGTAAAATCATTAAAAAAAAAAATAAAGTTAATGTTAATAATAAATAAAAGATTATATATGTGTATATAAATATGATATATAGACATATAATATATCTGTATAATATGTCTATATATCATCTATATAATGCCATACTAAGTGTATTTTTATATTAATATGTACATATATTAATATAAAAATACACTTATAATTAAATTACACACGTGTATATATATAAAATATATAACTATATATATTGTGTATATATATATACTATTATAAAATATAAATAAGTAATTTAAATTAAATAAAAAAAATTTAAAATAATAAAAAATAAAAAAAAATTATATATCCATATGAAATTTTATTCTAACTGTATTTTAAAATTAATATATATATATATTTATATCAAAATACACTTAGAATGAATTTGTATATATATCTATGTATATAAAAATAAATAAAAATAATAAGAAATATACATATGTCCATATACAAAATTACATAAATAATTATATAAATATACACG